TTCCATGGAAAAATGTATATAAAATTTATTAATTTCTTTAGTGCGGTAAATGATATATTTTAAAACAACGTTCATTTAAGCGAGGTGCTGACGTCACAATTTGTTTATCCACAAAATACAAACGGTGAATTATGATTTCGACGCTCGGTGGATGCAATGAAACCTAAATTATTTGACTTAATTTAAATAAAAGTAAGTTACAACTAGGTTTGCGACTATGTTGCACGAAGGTTGAACGAATAGTGACAATAAATCAAATAAAATTCTTAAAAGAAATATTATAATCTAAAAACATAAAAGAAATATAAAACCAAAAACTGTCTTTACACGGGAATGCTGAGTCAGACCCGTGTAGAATAGACGAGTTAACCCAGAACCTAAGGCGTCCTCTGATTATGTATAAAGATAATTATATTTTAATTAAACGACCACTTATGACACGTCACATAACAGGTGTCAAAATATTCAAATTTGTGTTCTAAAATGTTGTAAAGAAAATATAATACTTTATAAAGACAAAGTTTAAAAAATTTAATTGTTAACATTAGGTATTAAGGCCATTTAAGTGAATTAAAATCCTATAGATGTTTTTTTCAATTTTTATTTCAAGGCCAAAGCTCTAAATTTTACTTTATGAAGCCAAAACTTAAAAATGTATTGTTAACATGTATGTATTACCGATGCACAGTCCGACCCCCAAGAGATTACGTTTGTGAAGGGTAGGTGATGGAAAGGGCGATGTAACTTTGAACTACAATTTACCGCAACATTTTAAACATCTTTTATTCACCTTATTTACACCATTAACTTTATCAATTGAAAATATGTATAACTTTTTAAGTGTTATAATTTGGCTTTATAAAATATTTTTTAATTATTAACAATTAAATAACTGTACTGTTTAAAGATCGATATGGTATAAAATAATAATAGTTTTATAAAAAATATATTGTACATAGAATTTACTACGATAAAGGTGAACAAACCTTAAGAAAATTGGTACTGCGATATTAAGCAGATGAATTTTAATGAAATATTTCATAGACTTTTAGTTTGAAATACAATTAATAAACGACAACAAAATGTGTTTTCTTTTGAATAAATATGTTTCATCTTAGGTATAGCTTAAAATTTATTGAAAAAATATTTTTAATTTTTATAAGTTTGTTAAAGTTTTTACTGCATTTCTATGTCTGTCGAAATTACTGTATAAACTATAAAGTAACACCATTGACTGATTATTATTTATTATTGTGTTTTTCTACAAAATGGTACAAGATCATGATATGAATGATTTTATTTAAACTTGCTTTTTACACAGTTTTTTACGTCCTTTCCCTCCAGGGTCCTATCTAACTTCGTTTTAAAATTTATTATTATTTTTATTGAACTATTCACAACATAAATTTATTATTGCCAGATACTTTTATTGTTGTTTAAACGATGCCAAACGGTAATGTTGAATTAAAAAAATTTTTTTTTTCAAAATACTTTACTATAGCTGAAATTTTAATAGCATGTTATTTAACTATCTAAAAGCTCAGAATTAATTTACCAGACAAAAAATCGGTTGTTAAACCTTTTGCCAGATCGAAATAAAGTGTAAAGAGATGTAGTATCATTTAGCTTGGTCTAGAAAATTAATCGTCTAATAAATGATGGAAGAAGGATTAAAAACTATTGAATTTATTTATAGATGAATACGGTATAAAAATAATACTTTATTGTTGTACAAAATTGAGATAGTGATCAATCTAAAAACTAGCCTACCTGAAATTCTTGTTCAAAAACGTTGTTAGCTCTTAGAATATAATAATCATGACAATATAAAAGCTGCGTCACTGTTGAATTATAAATTTTTATATAGAATTTTTGAAAAACAGAGCCTTTGATAACATAATATAAATAATTTATTTTGATAAATATATTTTTACATATATAGTTTTTAAATATATCACACATTTTAAGTTTTAATTTTTAACCTAATAATATGAATATGCATATTCAAAATGAAAATAAAATGAACTCGTTTTATTTCTATTGAATTGGAAAACGCTAGATTTCAATTAACATTTATTTCCCGAAAAAAAATTATAATTCGGATTCTCATTTGACAAAAATTATATTTACAAAAGATATTTTTCAAAAATAAAGCACCATTATATACCACCTGTATGTTTTGTTTCTTTTGTTATATTTTATCATAAATAATTTGTATTAATGGTTTGAATACAATGATTTTGTTCTAAGATATTGGATCCTTACAAATTACCTTTTGCCACGGAATTAAATATTGTTCGTGGTCATTTATTTCAAGATTTTTACAAAAACTATCCTTCCTTTATATTTTAGTAAAAATTATATCAATTTTTCACAAATGTCTACTACAGCTCTTCATTCCGGAGCAATTTTCAGTATTTGTTGGTTATGATCAAAGAATAGTGGAAGATTTTGTATGAAAATAAAATTTTGGTAAACAGTATCAAATCTTTTCGAAGGCAAGTTGCCAATAGAAAAATAAATAAATACTTTTAGAATGAAATAACAAGAAATAGTAAGTGAAACATAATAAAAAAAATTATTTCTATTTTTATTGTAGGAACAAATTAAATTGATTATATTTGAAAAAATATTTTTATTGAAGTTCCCGTTTCATTAACTTGTATTTGTTACCTTGAATAGGACGCACAATTGAGATTATATGTATATGGGATTCAATCAGTGGCTGACGACAATCTCTCGATCACTATAAGGACCTACTTCATGAGGATTACACTGATACGATTCACCTCATTATATCGTTCACTTTCAGAAGCTTAATATAGGTTGAATATTAAAAGGAAAGATTTTATAAAAAAGAACATGTTTAATATGAAATATTTCTAATAATTTTCTTTTGATTTTAGTTACTTTTATAAATAAATATAACTAAATAGACTAGTGAAAGTAAAATAATAATTAGTCATTGCTTTAGAAGTTTCAATAATTGAACAGCTTGTATAAAAAATCTTCATTGCCGCGATTTACTCCCACACTGTAGATATCAATAGCATATTTTTATTTATTTATTTATTTCGGTAAACCAACAGTGCTTATAATAATGATATGATAAGTATAACTAAACAATATTAAGACCAATACAGGATTACACAGTTGTTACGCGGACATAAAATTATTAAATTAAACACCGAATGCTAACACCATGGAACCTATGGGATTGGAATGAGGTAAAGACGACACCTCATTCCGCGGAATCTATGGGAATGGAATGCAGAAAGAGAACACCACGGCTTCTCGAGGCATTGTAAATCAGTTTTAAAATTATAAAATCACTTCTTCGTTCAATCGTGTAACGATAGGTTGTCTTTAGAATAAAATAATTATAAGTAAATTTTGTTTTTTTTTGGAACCTCCGGCTGTAGTCGACATAATTAAGTTAAAGTAAAAGTATAAACATAAACGTAACTTAAGTAAAATTAATAATGGATCACTAATCTAATTAACAAGACTGTTCGTTGTGTGTTATTTTTATATCTTAATCCACGCAACCATAAGATTGAAAATTTTAAAAGAAAACCACTAAATAATAATAACTTTACAATTAACTAGCGGCACCAAAAAACAATGTTAATATTTAAATGTCTTGAATTTTATGAAACATAGCGGTACAATTGCCTATTTTTCAAATTTTGCTAACTTCGCATATACTCGTTCAATACCATCTGTTACATAAGATATTCATTTTTTACAGCCACTGAAGAACAATAGACATCTAGTGTCTACACGTAGGTACATATATATATAGCACTATGCAGTTTGATTACTCTTGTGACAATGTACATGCGCTTGATTTTGTGATACATATATTCAAAATGTGTGAATTTTTTTAAAGAAGAATAAATATCTAAAACAATCTGAAACTTATATTTAATCACAAATAATTTTAAAGGAATCGCCCTTTAAATAAAAGAAAGGGAAATTGCCATGAGTGAAATAAGCTATTTAAATAAATATTTAAACCAAATATCTGATCTGATAAACTTTATTTATAATATTAAAACAACATTTATCCTTAATCTATGTTACATACAGATAGTACTTGGCTTGATGCACAATTATTTTTCTTTCCAATAGGAAGGAAGCAATTATTGTATATTGATACAGTTTTGTTTAAACTAAATTTAATAAAATAAACATATTTATTGTCAGTTTAAAAAAATCAATGTTATATAATAAGTTTGTTTGAAAACATTACATTATATACACATAGTATGTATGAAATATTTGTTAAACATTTGTATGGATCTTAATGATTGATGTATATAACGTAAAAATAACATAAATATAACAATATTTTTCAGCGGCGCAGTAAAAAGATAAATGCAAAATGAAGTATTAATGATACAAACATGTTTAGCAAAAACATAACCAAATCAATGTTAGGATTTAAACAACACACATGACGTGTTTTTAGTTATCAGTTAATAATGTCGTATCGTTTCTTTTTATAAATTTATATATTTTTAAATTAATATAATACATAGTTTTTTTTTAACCTATGTCAACGTTTTGTCCAACCAAAACTGTTATTAATTTTTAATATCCCCAAAACAGTAATTATCATTTAACAATTGTGATTACAGGAGTTAAGAACGTTATAAGGTACCTGGGGGTATTAAGGCCTAGCTAAGGGAAATTTGTGATAAAATGAAAAGTGTCCATCATAATCAACAAGTTTTATTAGTAATCAGTCATTTACTTAAATAACTACAAAGTTTTAACAAAAAATAGCAACTTCTGCTTAAAATTAAAAGAATATTTAACTTTTTTAAAAACTCTCTCTGTAGGCCTTATTATACTAAGGGAGGGTAAAAAGGCCTATAGTTTTAAACTATCGAAAAATCAACTTAAACTTTATAAATTGGTATTTTTGACATCAATAATCATACAAATAAAGTAATAGGAACATAAATGGTCTTAGAAAATTAAATAAATTGCCTCTATTCGCATCCACCAGGACACTGAAAGTCATCAGTATCTTCCATCGACAAACCGACACACTGTTCATGATACCACTTGAAGCATTGCGAGCATTGTCTCATTGCATCATCCATTCTGTCTTCTTCGCAGGCATGACAGTACCAGCTCACTTGCTTTTGTGAAGTACCTTTGATGGTGGTAGACTTTTTTGCCGATACTGTTTTAGCTTTCTTTGGATTTGAAGTCTTTTTAGATTTCTTTTTTTCTGTTCTATCTTTCTTTCCTTCATTTAGTTTCTCATCTTGCTTGGTTTCCTTTTTTTTGTTATCTTTCATTACCTTACGATTTTTTTCTCTTCATTATATTTATCAAACAGATCTTTTGTGACGGAAGTGCCTCTATAATTAATGGCCTTTTGCCTGAGAGTCGGTGTTTTTGTTTGAACTTTAGCAGACGTAGACAGGAGATCATAAAATTCATATCTTTTTATCTGATTCAGAGGCAAATCATCAGATGCGTCTGAACTCGAGCTTGTTTGTTGTTAAATTGTACGATAATAGCTGCGTTTCATGGTTGGCACTCTTGAGATTTGCCCTGTTGAAGTTGATGCTATAGCTGGTGATTGATAAGCTTGTTCTGAAGTCGTTGATCGAAGACCATCAACAGGTGAAATATTTCCTCGCAGAACATCAGATATTGGTATCTGTGTCAAAATTGATGGTGATCTATCACTAGATTCTGGAGTCTTCCGTTGTTGACTATCAATAGGTGGTACATTTTCTTGGTCAAGATCAGGTGTTGAGGCTTCTGATAAAAAAGTAGGTGTTGTATTTCCGCATTCTGGAGTTTGAGCTCGAGGATAATCGAGAGCTGGGACGTTCTCTTGGTGGTCATCAGGTGCTGGAGTTTCCGTTAAAACTGAAGGAGCAAAAGCTGTTTCTGGTATAAGCTGTTTCTGGTATAGCTGTTTCTGGTATAACCAGTTTAAAAAAGTAGGAGTATAATAAGGCCTATTGTCAAATTTTATAGGCCTTAATATCCGCCGACCGCGTGCTTACAAAAAACAAAACAAATATTTTTTTTAATACGATACACCCTTTAATATGGTAAGGTAGGTGCAAGCATAAAATAATTAACGAACAGACAGTCAATGCAGGTATGTAACTGTGATATTACAAAATTTACTTACGTTTTGCTGGAGCCAATTTTTATAATTCCGGCCGCGCGACCGCTCCCCAAAATGTTTTCGACGACGCTGGCGCCGTGGCCAACGAAAGAGCGCGTCCGCCGCTTCGCAGCGACGTGTACACGTGCTATGCATGTGTGAGTGTAACCTTGATCGTCAACTGTTATATTTCGTACGATTTTTGTCACTTAGGCCTTATTAACCGACAGGCCTTAATACCCGCGGGTACCTTAGTAGTCAAAAAATTCCTTACATTGCTTTATAAAAGAACTGATATTCTTACTTTAATAGAATGGTGAATACCAAATATAACTAAGATTATAACTACTTTAAGGATATTAATTTTCTAACTCAAAAATCGTTATTAGTCAATCCGTTTGATAGCTACTTTATCATAGACAGATACATTCACACGAACAGGCCCACGTGCAAGTGCACATTAACCCTTTACAACATTGATTAGAAAGGAATGAACAATACAAGAAAAATAAATGTAAACATCAATGAAAATTGCCGCATTACCTCCAAGAATATATACTTCCTTTGTAATACTTAGAACAAAAACATAAAATCTTTCAGATTGAAAGTTATTCAAAACGAAATTATTAATATAGAAAAAGGATATTCTTTCTTCGTTTTTATTATTATTGATATTTAAAATGCTATGTAAAGAGAAGATGTCGTCAAGTCTCAGATGTTTCTTATATTACTGCTTTTAAGGAAAGGGAGTAAAATGATGGTGTTGTATTAAATTATTTACATGTTTTTATTAAACAAAATTTCGTTTATTACGTGTTTCATTGATTAAAATCGCTTTTGCAGAATCGTGTTCGTTTGTCAAACAAACGAGACCTTTCAAAGTACACACACTTTTAAGCACTCGCTTGAGGCTATTTTCCACCCTATTTATTTTCCCAAAGTACCGTTACATCATATGACGTAGCACTAGACATCGTTTGAAGAAATGAATTATTTGCTTTATTTGTCAAAGAAAAAAGAAACAAAAGACTTATGTAATAAATAAAAGTTATTTATAAACATCGATTGAAGTTCAAAAGAAATGAGGAGCTCTTATTATTTAGTCACAATTACAATATACTATTAAATTATTCCTAGTTTATATTGCCAAAATGGTAGTGTTATTATTGAAATTATAGTGACAGAAGTTTTCATTTCTCTAGCCCCGAACTAAAATCACCTGTCATTGAGAAATAATAAATATAGATAAGTTTTCACTATCATAAAATATTCACACAGATTTTAATGATATTCATTTCTAAAAGAAACGCAAATTCAAAATAATATGTGCAACTCTTCTTTGCTTTGCTTAAACAAGTACATATTGAGAATCGCAAGGTTTTTTTATTTGCCGTTTGACTTTTAATTGCTTACTAAGATTAAGTTAAGGTTTAATTTATTCTCTCATGAGAAAAAAAACATTTTTAAATATATCAACAATCTTACGAAAATTCTTATTTCGTAGAAGAATAAATATTTTTAAACCATTTATGGCAGAACAAGTTCTAGGAATTTAACATTTCAAGCTTGTTGCAACTGACAAGTATTCGAACAGAATATGTCATTCAAGAGAGTGACAACTACGCCTGTTTGAAGTTAGAATCAAATTTATAATTTAAAGAGCTCAACCGCTTTACCAGCTCCATATATACAGGGTGACTGGTGAATTACTATCGATATTTGAGGACGTGATATTTGACGATCATATATGACAAAAGAAAAATTAATATAACATAAATATTAATAAACTTCTAAGTAAAGTTAACCAAAAATTGTGTAATTAATTACGCATCGTATGAACACCCTACAGATTAGGTATACACACACACACACAGACTCGCGCGCGGCGGCGTGTTGTTGTATCAGCACGCCGCCGCACGCGTCCACACATGGAACACTTGGAACGTGTACACACTTTATTTATTTATACGGAAATTTTGTCAAAAATTAAGTACCTATTTTTTTTACATAATTCGAATGAGAATCATGTACCGAGTATGCTCCTTAAATATTGATAGTAATTCACCAGTCACCCTGTATATACATAACAATTTAAATAAAAATAAAGTTAAAATGATCCTTGAAATTTATAAGCAAGCTACAATTTTTCACTTTCTAGTTATTAAATTGTATCAAATGTATCTACCTGAATCTCTGAATCTAACACAAAATTTCGAACTGACACTGAGTACACAAATACTTGTAATGAACATAATATTTTTTAATTTCAACTATGATATCCTTTTCATACTAAAAGACACAGAACAAAATGTACCTACAAATATAAATCAAAATTGTAATTGTGTTTGAGAAAGCCCACAGCCATCTAGACTGCAAGTGAAAAATAGTATATCATTTCAAGTACATATCTTAATGTATATAGAACTTAAAATGTTACAATTTCTAAGCTCCAAGTGAAGCTACACATAATTATGTAAAGATTCTATCGAGTTATATAACGATGCCACTAAGTTCTACAACAGTAAAATTTAACGTTTATGTAACATTATAAATACATTTTATTGTAAAAGATGCATGTATATATTTAATTTATTTATTTGAAGACATGGCAATCCATGTTGTCAATACAACAACTATATGAATCAATATAATTGTAATTACGTCTAAAGATATTTACATACTCTTACTCTTTCATATATTAAATAAAATTAAATCTCTCACAAAAATAGCAGTTCAATCATAAGACTATCGTTGATATTTAGTAAATCTAGTTACTAAAAATGCTCAATCTAAGACGGCGCGCGTCGTCGTAACGCTACACATCCAGCGTTAACAGTTTTTCACGTATAGATTATTGCACATTGCATTAAAGTCGATTCTTTAATAAGAAAAATCAAATGTTATGTATGTAATGTGAAGATGCTAACTTTACATTAAAAATGCCTTCAAACAAACGGATTACAATATAACAATGAAAAATTGAATACAAAGAATAAAGTAGTATCTGTAAAAAAATAATCGGTTTATGTTTCATAATTATTATAAATCATAAATTGATGATAGAATACTGTCTCATACACTTTTTTACATCGTAACATAAAACAAGGAAACTGATGTAAAATTTGCAACCATGTCACGTTACGACCATAACTTGTCTTTGTAATATTCTCTTTGTGAAGCACTCAACGATCATATTTTATCAGGTAACAGTTTGTTTCATGAGTAATTTAATTGATGCATATAAGTTACTAGAATTTCTCTAAATATAATGAAATGTAATTGTACTTTATAACTGTTTTATTTCCTTTATGCATGTATATCAAATAATATACTTATAACTCCATAATCAGTGTAGATGTAGATATATTACTATATGTATCCCGCTTTTAGGTCAGATTGCATGCAAGAATGCTTATAATATTAAAGTTTTCATTAACATCTTTCATATAATTTTACTATTCTTTTAAGAAAATTACTGTTATAAGATGATTTTTGGTTACATATGTAATAAACTAACATTCCAAATACATTCACATTTCAGTGCCTTGTGAGGAAGACTTAAACAAATATTTTCACAAGCAACGGAATCAACAGTGTGTCTCCTGAAGCAGCGCAATCCAATCAGATTATGTAAAACTAAAAAACAAGAAAAGTAAATTTGCATTCGACGAATTCAATATAATATAATTTTTAACTTTAATAACATTCCAGTGTTATTATACTGGTGGTTTTTTTAAATCTCTTAGATTAAACTTCTATTAGATCTGAATAATACTAGATGTGCAACTAAGTTTGCGGGTTTTTTTTTCAATAAAAAATAGAAAATTTCAAGATACATACAAAAAATGGTTTATTCAAAATATTTTCCTTCGCTAGCTACAATTTTTTGCCACCTCTCTTGCAATACATGGATACCGCGACGATAAAAGGTCTCGTCTTTGGACTGAAACCATTCATCTAACCAATTTTGCACTTCCTCGTAATTAGTTAAGTGTAGCCCAGACATTATTTTACTCACTTATAGTGACTTATTTTAACAAGACTTTTTCTCTTTAGTAAACACCTGAAATATATTGGTTATTATACCTATGAACTGTTATTAATAGAAATACATAATAATAAAAAAGTATTCATTCACTTTAAATTATTTAAGTTTTATAGTTACCATAGCCCAATATTAAATATCGCATCTTTGATTCTATAAAATGAGAATATAATCTATGCATATGATTAAAACATATATAGTTGAATGGGTAATATTTAACTGGGAACTGGGAACTGAGTTTTATAAAAAAAAACATATTCCATACTAGGATTTTATTCGTAAACATCTTTAAAAATCAAATTAAATTATTTTGCTATAAGCTTCTAAAATAAAAGAAATATTTTATTGTGGTAATTCTAAGAACAATCTCAGATTGAATCAGAAATCTGCAAAAAATGTTATCAACGAAAATATAATTAACTTTATTTTATTTTTTTGTACACCAAAGTAAAATCTATAGCATATTTTATTGCGGAATGCAATTCCTACATAGTAAACGCAGGGTATAAATTTCCGGTCCTCTAATTGCCACGTTTATTTTGATAAATTGGATACCTTAATTGCTATTCGATAAATCATGAAATATATAATAAATTACAAGATTCAGTTTCATAAACAATTTCAATATAAGTAGGTTTATGAAAGTCTATTTGGGATTTTATTATTTTTACAAGCTTGGTTTTGTTAAATAGTAGATATTTTAAGTATAGTTTACGGATTATCTATTTTACTTCCGAATTAATTACTAAAGGAGTTAAAAATATAAGAATTAAAACTTTTGAGGTGGTAGAGCCTAGCTATGGTCAAGTTACTACAGTTCGAACATGGTCTAGCTTGACCGGGGAAGTACCACCCTTTCGCAGATGATCGGCGTGAAGAAGTCTTTAATGGCTGCGTTTCGTCCGAGAAGTGAGAGAACCGTTGCCCTTTCCCTTTTTAACGATTCAAAACTATTGTGAAATCCATACATATGTGAACAAAGATTTTGATTTTTTCCTTTCCAGATAGACCAACTTACAATTTTATAAATTTTTATTACTTTTCTGTATGCAAATAAAGTAATGGTTTAATATTGAATCTGCAGAAACAAATATTAAGCGAACAACTTTTT